CAAATAGAATTATAACTAACTGCAGCTAAGTCTTGCATTCTATTTAAAGGGTCAGCTGGTCACCAAGAGAGGCCTGTCCCAGACCCTCTGCCCATGTCACTGTGTTTCTCTCTCACAGCTGATGTGAACTTTCTTTCAAACTTTTCACACTTTATTAACCCCTAACTTCAACCCACAGTTTTTCTTCCTCTGTCTTTCCTTTTCTATTTTTCTTTTATGTAAATCCTCCATCCCATTTTTAGATTCTCTGCAAAACTGGTAAGTTGGGCGTGTCTGATAGGGCCCCGGACAGTGTGTCTGTCTAGGATATGCAGTAGGAGGTGGAAGATGTGAACACTCACACGTGATTTTCTTCTGCTCCTCGTACCCTGATGTTTTTTATTCTCCCAGGAAGGAGAACTTGACGTAACCTTTGCCTTTTCTTTTCCTTCCCTGTAGTGTATTATAGTAATAAAACCTTTAAAAAGTTTTAGAATCTAGACGGATTAGAATTTGAGTAAAAGGTGTGCAATTTATTACCACTTGTACTGGTTATTGAACAACTTCTAAAAACGTAAACTTTTTCTTTTTATCCAAGTAACATACTTAAAGTTTTAAAATTCAAATAGTATTTCTAGACTTGTGGCAGAAACAGCCATTGCCCACAGCACACATCCCCACCCCTAGTCCTTTCTTCTGCATTGACCTCCATGTACCTTTGGAATTGACTCTTGTATTTTTTTTTTTTTTTTTAGACAGAGTCTCACTTTGTTGCCCAGGCTACAGTGAGTGCCTTGGCGTCAGCCTAGCTCACAGCAACCTCAAACTCCTGGGCTCAAGGAAATCCTGCCTCAGCCTCCCGAGTGGCTGGGACTGCAGGCATGCGCCACCATGCCCGGCTAATTTTTTCTATATATTTTTAGTTGGCCAATTAATTTCTTTGTATTTATAGTAGAGACGGGGTTTTGCTCTTGCTCAGGCTGGTTTCGAACTCCTGACCTCGAGCAATCCGCCCACCTCAGCCTCCCAGAGTGTTAGGATTACAGGCATGAGCCATAGCGCTGGGCCGACTCTTGTATTTTTTTAAAGTTTCTAACGCTGTCCTTAGTTCCCAGTGTGTTCAGCCCACGGACTTCCTAATTCTAAAAGGCAAGGACGTAACCCTCTCACCCTTACTTCCTAGACACATACATTTATAAACACACGAAGGTCACCTCCCTCTTTTAAAAAATGTCATAGCATCCTTTTTGATCATCACTCAGTAATTATCGTATTATAATCATGCAATTATTCATAGCCAAGGCATATTCTATAATTACATTTCCTTTTTTGTACAGTTTTGTCTTTGATAGATTCAAGTGTATCTTGACTTACTTGCTTATTGACTTTCCTATGTAGCTGTTATTCACCATCACCAAACTCTGAAGACCCTCTTTTAAAATATGCATATATCTCAGGTATTCCATGCGCTTCTCTTTTTTCTGGAGGAGTTTCTCCTGGAGGCCTCCATCCTCTACTGCAGTTTCTAGCTTTTGTCTTGGCACTTCCCCTCCCCTCTTCTCTGCTTTCTAGGTCCTAATATTCTTCTGTCTTTTCTCTTAATTTTGGAGGAGAATACCTGTCAGGAGCTTTCTGAGATAAGGTATTTGGCAGCTAATATTTTTGAGCTTGCATATCTGAAAATATCTTTATCCTACCCACAAGCATAACTAATAGATTGACTGAAAAGTCAAATTCTATGTTAGAATTATTTTCCTCAGAATTTTGAAGTTAATGCTCCATTGTATTTCAGCTTCCTGGGATTCTGTGGGGATTCCCATGCCATTCAGATTTCCAGTCCCTTAAATGAGATCTTATTATTTTCCCTTCTGGAATCTAAGATCTTATCTTTATCCCTGGTGTTCTGAAATTTTGTGATGATGTGCCTTGGTGTAGATATTTTCAGTTTTGTTTAGCTGGGCACTTGGAGGGCACTTTCAATATGAGAACCTATCTTCTAGATCTGGCAAGTTTTAAAAATTACTTCTTGAGTAATTTCTTTCTCTTCATTTTCTCTATTTTCTTTTCCTGTAGTTCCTATTTTTCAACTGTCAGAGCTCTTAATCTTCTAATTTTCTTGTGTTTTCTTTTTCTCCATCTCTTTATCTTTTTGTTCTATTAGAGAGCACCTAATTTATCTTCTTTTATTAATTTCTACATTTTAGTTATTGCTTTTCTAATTTTCCAGAGCTCATACTTATTCTCTGAACATTCTTTTATATATCTTTCTTTCTTTCACAGACATAATATTATCTTTGGAGACCACAGATAATAAAGTTTTTGTAATAACATTTTTTTCCTCCTTGTATTTTTTTTTAATTCTTCCTAGTGCTTTTCTCTTTTCCTTTCCTGTCTATCTTCCTCAAATGCCTGAAGATCCTTGGTTATCTTTGCATATTTAAAAGTGAGGCAAAATGCTATTGGAAGCTCTGTGCAGTAGTTGAGGACTGTTGACAGGTGGACTCACTGTGGGACAACCAGAGCTGCCTTCCGTGGCCTGCACGTCCCAGCTCTCCTGCCCACTGCCCTCAGTATGCGCTCCTGCCCCCAAGTTCGTCCTCCCCGGTTGCTCTGTCATGCAACCTGAATTTTTACCTCGGTGTCTTTCCTAGGTTTGCTCCTTCTGCCCAGAAGACCTTCCTCTTCTGATGCTGCCTCAGATCCTACTCTTTCTTCCAGGCTCTGTTCACACGTGACCTCCTTGCTGTCTCCTCCATCTCCGTCTTAGTTCATTCAGGCACTACTACAACAAAGCACCACAGCCTGGGTGGTTTGTAAACAACAAAAATTTATTTCCCATGGTTCTAGAGCCTGTAGGTCTCACACTGAGGTGCCAGCACAGGTGGTTCTGCTGAGGGCTCTCTTCTGGGCTGCAGGCCATCTTCTCAAGTGGAAAGGGAACGAAAGAGTTCTCTGGCTGCGTCTTATAGGGACACTAATCCCATTCATGGAGCTCCACCCTCCTGGCCTAGTCACCTCCCAAAGGGCCCACCTCCAAGACAATCATATTGGGGATTAATTTCAACATATTAATTTTGCAGGGGCACAAACATTACAAACTTGACTCTGTTGCACTTGTTCCTTAAGGTTTGACATGTTAATTTGTGTCCACATCCAGGCCGTGCACCCTTTGCCTCTTGGCTTAACCCCACAGCACCCTTGGCTGATGTTACTTAGAAAGAAAAAACCAACAGGAAATGAAAGCCTTGTATACTGAAAGGGAGAGATTCCTTCCCAAATCCTTTAATGCATACATGATGTCACTTCAATTTGGTAATTTTTTTTTTTTTTTTAGACAGAGTCTCAATCTCTTGCCTGGGCTAGAGTGCCGTGGCATCAGCCTAGCTCACAGCAACATCAAACTCCTGGGCTCAAGCGATCCTCCTGCCTCAGCCTCCCGAGTAGCTGGGACAACAGGCACGCACCACCATGCCCGGCTAATTTTTTCTGTTTTTAGTTGTTTGGCTAATTTCTTTCTATTTATAGAAGAGACGGGTCTCGCTCTTGCTCAGGCTGGTCTCGAAGTCATGAGCTCAAGCAATCCTCCCGCCTCGGCCTCCCAGAGTGCTAGGATTACAGGCGTGAGCCACCACGTCTGGCCTGGTACTGTTTTTTGATCGCTGAGCCAAGTACTTTGCCAGATCCTGAAGGAAACCAACAGAATGTTTTTCCTAGAACATCATTTGACCATTTTACTTCCCTGATGGACGCTGCATCGGCTCGCCACCGCTTCCAGCACCGCTGCTGAGACGTATTGTGCATAAGGACAGGTTTCAAGATGCATCTTAAGTAATTTGGTATTATTAATGATTGACGTTTGTCAATAATTTACTTCTTAAGGACGCTCTCTTGGTTGCAGAGAACTGCGGCTAGAAGAACGGAAGTGTGCAGTTGGCGCCTACCTTATCTTCCAGCCGGTGGGGGCGCGTCCTGAACGTGCACGCGGCCTTCCCAAAGCAGCCTCAGCATGGGCCGGCGCTCCGCGCACCACCGCCCGGCCTGCCCGCGCTCTCTCACTTCCGTTCCGGACCCAAGCCCGCCTTCAGCTCACGAACCTACAACTGCAGCAGGACGAGGCCACGGCCAACCTTCCCCGCGCTCGCTGCAGCCGTGCCCCAGGGCACCCCGCGGGAGCCCCGCCCGGGAGCGCCGCCCGGGAGCGACCCGAGGAGGGAACAGCGGAGGGTGCAGGGGAGCACCCCGGCGAGCGCGCGCCGGCCGCGCAGGGCCCGGCAGAGTCGCACGGCGCGGGGACCCGCGGCCGCGCCCACCCAGCCAGGCAGGGCCTCGCGCGGCCCGGGCCATCAGCCTGCACGGGCAAAGCCGGCGGCCAGCCACCTCTCGGCCCGGCAGGACGGTGTCCGTGGAACCAAGAGGGACAAGGGCAGCGCCCACGACAGCCTGCGGGAAGCGAGCGGACACCTTAACCCGGAGCCGCCGAAGCGCCTCGTAGTTTCCCGGGCAACACACTGAGCGTCGCGCTCCGCCGGCGCCTGCGCGCCCCGCGCCTGCCCCCTGCGCGCCCCGGGCCTTTCCCCGTGCGCCTGCGCGCGTCGCTTCCTGCAGCGCCTCCGGCGCCCAGCCGCGCAGGCGCAGTCCCCGGGAACTGGGCGGGCCCTGGGGCGGAAGCGTCTCCGGCGGAAGCGGAAATGAGCGCGGCGGTGCTGCGCTGTGGCTGTGGGGCGGCGCTGAGGGCCGAGGAGCCGCGTTTCTGGTGGCTTCTACAGGTAGGGCTGACCGGTCTTGGGTGGCCGTGCGTCCCCCGCTTCCGACGCTCGTGCGCGTCAGCCCGTGGGCCACAGAGCTCGGGTGCCGTCCCGGCTGCGCCGCGTCCCCGCTTTGCCCGCGGCGGGACCCTGGGCCGGGCGGCAGCTGCGCCCGACGTGGGCCGGGGCCGCCGCGAGGCGCCTGTGGGGTCAACCCCGAACCCACCGCTCCCCTCAGGACGGGTCTGGCTCCTGCATGTCGGTTTCGGGTCAGGTCTGCGGTCCCTCACGGCCGCGCGGCTTCTCTGGTCGTCCCTGGAGAGGCGTCCTCTCTCCTCGCCTTCGCTCTAGGCATTCTGGCTGCCCCGGGACCAGGGACCAGCGCCTCACAGGTACTTTCCTCCGCGGGGAGGAGAGATGAACAGACAGGCCCTGCCTGCGAGGGGTTCACAGACCGAGTGGGGAACGCCGGCGTCACGCAGGCCCGATAACACAGGAGCGGAGAGGTGTCTTAGCTGATTTGCCCCAGGAGGGCCTGGAAGTTTCCAAAAAGGAGGAATTTGAGCTGAGCTTTGAGTAAGTGGGAGTTGGGTGGTGAAAGAGGATTGAGAGACTATTCCTGTTTCTGGCAGAGGGAGCAGAAATGTTTAAGACGTGAAGGTTTCAGACAGTCGGTCGTATTTGGGGAATTAGAGCAGTACAGCATTCCTGGGACAAGACACGTTGCTTATGTGGGGCAAGGAAGTAATATGCCCAGACCTTAGTGTTAAAAAAGAAAAATCCGTCCGGCAGGTATAGGGGTGGTGGAGTGGGATGACTCTGCAGCTTGTCAGGGCTTTTGCAGTCATTCAGGGAACCGAAAACCCGGACTTGAGATGGAGAAAACGGGAGGCAAAGAGGTGAGGGGGTGGGCTTGATAATGGCCTGAGCCCCTGAGTAGATGATTCAGAGAGTGAGAAACAGATTGCAGGCCAAGTCTGGAGCACCAGGGTCCCTACTACCCACTCCCCAGTGTGTTAGATGTCTTCCCAAGTCCCTCTGTGTCTAGCGTCCCTTTGTCTTTGACCTCGGTCTCTCCGTATCCCCTTAGGCCTGCTTGTCTTTGGACCTTGCTTTTAGAAGCTGTTCTGTCTGCCCCCACTGCAGCCTCCACACTGTAGTCTCTATATTTTGATTTCCTCATCATCCTATTTCTGCCATCTCCAAGCTCCACCATTAGTGGGTTTTCCCCGACCTTGCTGTTCCTTTTGTCTTGGAACTCTAATTGTGCTTTTCTTACCAGTTGTGTTTCTTTTTTTTTTTTTTGAGACAGAGTCTCGCTTTGTTGCCTAGGCTAGAGTGAGTGCCACGGCGTCAGCCTAGCTCACAGCAACCTCAAACTCCTGGGCTCAAGCAACCCTGCTGGCTCAGCTCCCAAGTAGCTGGACTACAAGCATGCGCCACTATGCCGCGCTAATTTTTTTCTATATATATTAGTTGGCCAATTAATTTCTATTTATAGTAGAGATGGGGTCTCCCTCTTGTTCAGGCTGGTTTCGAACTCCTGACCTCGAGCAATCCGCCCGCCTCAGCCTCCCAGAGAGCTAGGATTACAGGCATGAGCCACCGCGCCCGGCCCCAGTTGTGTTCTTGAAAAGCACCAACACCGTAGCTGTGCCAGAGTCCTCACCATTCCTCTCTGTCTCTCTCTCTTTCTATATACATATATATGTATAGCATTTCTCAACCACCTTATCTCCCAGTTTTTTGTTTAGTTTTTAACTCCCTAATCTTCCAGACGTATGGAAATCTCTGATCAGCCGTGCCCATTGAGAAGACTACAGTAGATGACCTCTTTCATCACTTGCAGTTTTTAACATCCTGAAATTCTACCTTATCCATGAAAATGAAGTTCAGGCTTATGGGTCTCTCACTTATATGGGCCTCTTCCCAGGCACTGGGACCTCAGAAGTCTTAAGTTTATAATGTGTTCTCTAGTTTGAAAAAACGGTCCCTAATTTTTTTGTTTCAGACCCTTTAAAATTTGGATCCCTCCAAAACTGGCCACTTGTCATCCTGCTGCTTTGAGATTTTTGTTTTGTTTTTCAGACTTTCCCATCTCCACCTCCTACTTCTTCTCCTTCTACCATGTGCTTGTTATTTAGACCCGGGAGAAAATATAAATGAGTGGAACTGGTCAAATTCCTGACATAGGCCAGGCTTAGTGGCTCACACCTGTAATCCCAGCACTTTGGGAGGCTGAGGCAGGAAGTCCCTTGAGCCCAGAAGTTTGAGGCTGCAGTGAGCTACCCTGTTTCCCCTAAAATAAGACAGGGTCTTATATTTATTTTTCCTCAAGAAAACACCCTAGGGCTTATTTTCAGGGGATGTGTTATTTTCCCCTCAAAGCCTCAGCTTGCAGCATGCACAGGATGGCTGGGACCTGACAGGGGGAGCTGACCTTGTTGGTGGGGCTGCCCCACACCTTTCCGGTCACCTCTGGGATAGTAGCTGTCATGATGGGGCAGATGAGTAGGGCTGCTTGTGTTCTTTATCGCTTCACAACAAAATGCATGAGTTGTACAGATACACTGAGTAGCCACGCTGATCACTAGGTCTTATTTTCAGGGTAGGGCTTATATTGCGCAAATGCTTAGAAATTCTGCTAGGGCTTATTTTATGGGTAGGTCTTATTTTCAGGGAAACACGGTATGATCATGCTACTACACTCTAGCCTGGACAACAGAGCAAGACCCTGTCTCTAAAAAAAAAAAAGGAATTCCTGATACAAAACTAACTTCATTTTGCACTGGTGTCAGAGCTTGATAAAGTAGTAGATTGGCAGAATCTTTGCGACTCCTTTGTTACAAGTTTTAATGCATGTATTGTTAGATGTATATTTCACTGCTGAGTTGCAACTTCCTTCAAGGAAAGGTTGGTGGTGAGAAAGATGGTTGGCTTAATTGAAATCATAAAAGCAACTCTTAGCTCCAAGGAAACTAGGGTTATATACTATGGAAATTCATTCAGAGGAGTTTATTGCAACCTTTCTTTTATTACTTTGAAAATGACACAACCCTAAGGCTATCATTTATTTCTATAGAGCTTTGTAATAAGTGTAAATAACTTTATTTTAATTTGCTTTGAGACAGCTGTTTCTTTGTAAGGTGTTCCATTGGGAAAATCTTCAGAGATTTAGAGCATATTAAAGTTAAATTATTTCTATAAATATAACAAGGTATTTCTAAAGGATTTTTTGGTGGCAGTTTAAAATCCTCCTATCTTGAGAGGTAAATTATGATCTTATTTTTACAAACAAGGAAGTCAGTGATGTACAAAGAGGTTAAATGATTTGAGTTCTACACCTACAGTAAATCAGGGCCTTTGCTAGCCAAAAAAGCCAGCTCCTGAGTAGTGGTTTTCTCCCCTCACCCCACCACTTGTTTCTTTTTTGAGATGCGGTCTTGCTGTGTCACCCAGGCTGGAGTGTAATGTGACATGATCATAGCTCACTGCAGCTTTGACCTCCTCGCTTCAAATGATCCTCCTGCCTCAGCCTTCCAAAGTGCTGAGATTACAGGCACGAGCCACCATACCTGACCTCGCATTTTCCTTGTAAACAAATATTAATAAATGGGAATCTATTTCAGTTTGCTCTTACAGAACATTTAATGTAAGATGGACCAAATTGTATCCTTCAGTGTGTCTATTTATACCTTTCTGCACACATGCATGTATTTCTGTATGCTAGGTTCTATAAAAGTGAGCAGTATTAATCCTGCTCCTGTTAGGACTTTAGCCTCCAAAATTAACTCTCTGTGGATTCATGCAAATTATTATAAAGTCATTTACAGTAAAGCCATGGTCACCTATGACAAGAGGATAGTAACTTTCTGAATAGCAATTTCCGGATAGTTTAGATTTTTGCCCATTAAGCAGCAAAGTATCTCATTTAGGATGAGAATCTTTCTAAAATGTATCTTCACATTCTTTTTTTTTTTTTTTTTTTTGAGACTGAGTCTGGCTTTGTTGTCCAGGCCAGAGTGAGTGCCCTGGTGTCAGCCTAGCTTACAGCAACCTCAAACTCCTGGGCTCAAGCAATCCTGCTGTCTCAGCCTCTCGAGTAGCTGGGACTACAGGCATGCGCCACCATGCCCTGCTAATTTTTTCTATATATATTAGTTGGCCAATTAATTTCTTTGTATTTATAGTAAAGACGGGGTCTCCCTCTTGCTCAGGCTGGTTTTGAACTCCTGACCTCGAGCAATCCGCCCGCCTCGGCCTCCCAGAGAGCTAGGATTACAGGCGTGAGCCACCGCGCCCGGCTATCTTCTCATTCTTAAATGGAATGTGCTGAATGTGATGTAAGCTTTTCATAATGATCTCAAGTCATCATTTTAAACATACTTTGTTATGATGTAAACAGTGATATTCTCAGGCTTGTTGAGGCATATATAGCTGTTTTCTCTTTTTCCTTTTTTCATTATAAGGCGGAAAGGCATAAAAACTATGTCTTCCCACTTTTTAAAGTTTTCTGCCCTTCTCTTTTCCACAGACAGCTGTCAGCACTTCCACTGCTGTCAGTGTTCCTGCCTAGGTCCCTGTACCTCCCTCTCTGGGGGCTCAGGAACTAAATGTTAGAAGTGATTAGAAAACTAGTCCATAGATGATGATAAGAGTCTAAGGAAGTTTCTTGGGAGTAAGTTGTTTTAGCTTTAATTCATGAACTTCTTGATTTGTATCAGATCTTCTTATCCTGAATTCTGGATAAATGAGGCATTATAAATTTGTATAGGTGTACACACATTTTCCTTTCTACGTTCAGTGACAGTGGTTTTCACATTGTGTTTTATCAGCCTCTAAGGTGTTTTGTGGAGCTCTGTGGGGTAGGAAGGCCAAGGGCACAAGACTTCTGGGCTACTGGGAGAAGCCAGAGAAGAGACTTTTCAGTCCTAGCCCTCCTGTTGGGGCCCTGGAGTGGGCTAGTGACTGGGAATAACTTGTGGGTAAGGACACCGACAGCCCAGCTCTGGAGCGAGGCACTTGGCCCTCCTGGCACATACAGGCTGGCAGTAACCGGTCATTCCAGTGTGCAGTAGCGCTAGATGAGGTTGTGCCTGGGAAAAGGAAGCCAGAGTTTGGAGGCTGGCGGGACCAAATCTTGCTTCCCTGTTGATTGCTGACTGTGACCTGGGCAGGTGACATCCCTGACATGCACTGCTGGCTGTCTTCCCAACGGGCCCTCCTGCCTTCTTTGCTACCCAAGCGTGTCTTTGACAGAAGTGGCCAATCAGAACTGATAATGTGCTCCTGTCTGGCCAGTGGGGCTAGAGGGGATGCTGTGGGACTTTGGGCATAAATGGCACGTGTGTACACAGCTGGGCACATTTCGACGCATATATTGCTCTCCCCC